TTTTTAATATCATTAGTTGTGTATTTTTTCAATAACTCCTTTTGACAAGGGTCAAGTTTTGGTCCATTTGTAACTTCAAAAGTTTTAATTTCTTTCCATTCATCAGGTGAAAACAATGATATTGTTTCGACATCAGCATCATTGATTATAAAAGAATGAAGATATGATTCTTTATGTAGTTTTTTAGCAAATTCATAAATAACTGTTTCCACTTTGCACCCAGTTTTCAGGGTCCACATACAATCAGGAAGTAAGCTTCTTTGAATTTTCTCAAATCTAACAATGGGTTATGTATTAGACTCATCATCAATGTACTTGTTATCAATGTAACCGTCATTAAAGAAGGTTTCAGGATCTTCACAAGCCACATCAAGAATTGGGTCTTTTTTGGATTCAGTTTGACCATTTGATTTCATCTAAATCATAAGATAGAAAGACAAAAATGACAATAAGTTATTTGTTGCTTGAAGAAATTAATAATATACAGAGCCACTCAGCCCACCCTTTTAGTTGAACAGGTTGCAGATGTTTTTTCTTTGATGCTTGTGTCACTGATTAAATTTGGGAGAGTGTATTTTAATTGGTGATAACAATTATTTTTGTTTTGTGTGGATCAGAATGAATAGGGGATCATAATTATTGAATAGTTGATAAAAATTTGTTTTGCAAGCTTCATAGATCTTGACTAACATTTACTTCAATCAAACCCACCTATATAATTATTGAATAATTAATAAATATTTGTTTTGCAAGCTTCATAGATCTTGACTAACACTTACTTCAATCAAACCCGCCTATATAATTATTGAATAATTGATAAACATCTGTTTTGCAAGCTTCATAGATCTTGACTAACACTTACTTCAATCTTAAGAAACTTTATTACCAATATTTATTTATTTATAATAATTTTTTAAGCATTAAAAGGTTATCCTACAAATACACATGCATCAGTAATGTTTTGAGCTTAGGAATCCCTTAAAATGATATAGAATCCTAATACAGAATTTACAAGTAATCCTATATGATTGAAACCAAAAGATACATTTTTTTATGACTTTTCTGTCACATTAAATTAATTGGCAAAGATTTTTTCAATATATTATTGGATAATTTGGCTTTGTGGCACAGAAAGCTCATGAAAACCTGAGCCAGAATAGGGACTAGCTAAAACTGATTAGAAGCTCTAAGTTGACAGTCACATGAATATAATACTGTAATAGTTTTTTAGATCCAATTTAATAAAAGACAGGTGTTATTATTATAAAACAATATCTTTATAAAAACACAATTTTTAATTTAATAATAATTTAAATTTCTTCACTTGTAAGTAAATCACATTGTCTTCAAATGGACAAGATTAACTGTTTTAATTTAATTACTAACTTATTTTACTTTTGGATAAAACAGCCTTTAAAATGTGGTGATAATAAGAATTTTTAAGAAATTTAGCAACCAGATAGAACACCAACAATTCCAAAGAGAAGCTATAGATAGATACAATACCTTCTTGGTGGGTTATGTATTCCATTGATGTCAATTCTGAAAAAATATGATAATCTATATATGTTGCTATGCTCCAAAAACAACTCCTTTATTATTGCTGTTGCATTTGAGATATCCAGATGATATTGAAGAAGAAAATGTTAAATTGTAAAACAGAAAGGAAAAAACAAAATGTGAGGAAATAAGTATAAATCAGATGTCAAAAATGAAGGTTGTACTTAAAGTTGCTGATTAGGTAGTTTTAAATTGATGGATTTATATGCCAAGAGCACTAATCAAACTGGAACTGAACTGTTAGGAGCTTGGAATGGGCTGTAACAGTGGTCACTTAAAATATAATGGCAAGTCTGATCCTATAGGCACATAAATCGACTATTTAATAGCAGGCTGGTTAATAATATCATCATTAGTTCTGTCATTCTAATAATATAACTAATAATATAATAGTCTTACAAAGCATATTTGAAATATGGAGCTTAAGATCAAATAATGAAAATAACATGTTATTAGTCAAGCAATGATGATGACAAGAGAAGATGCAAATCAAGGTGTCTAATTGAAGTGGTGCCCATAGTCTATTAAATGTTATTTAAAAAAAAAATATCTAATTCTTCAAAATTTTATCTTTCATTTTTATTGTTATCAATCATCATTATTATTAATATTTTTATTTCATTAATATTATTGTTGCTGAATAACACTGCCATTAGCATTACTATTTTTATTATACTATTATCATTATTTTTTGAAATTGTAGTTGGAGTCCTTTTAATGTAAATATTGAAACAGTTGTATATAGTAGAATTACTAGCATTTATTTTTTTCATTATCATTCACAATATTATTACTTTTTTTTTTCCTTCAACATTGATCCTCAATCTTTTCATCATCTTTAAATCTCATTTGAAACCAATTTTATTTTATATCAATTTTAACAAATAGTATTTGCATTTTCCAATTCCATCTTCTAATTTGTGAGAAACAATTAATGAATCAAATGAATTATTGAAAGAAACAGATAATCCAAATATAGTTGGTTTGGAAATTAATTGTCTTGTTATATATACCCTTCAATATTTGTATAAAATCACATTAATAGGGTAATATATATACTTTATATATGTTATCACTCAATATATTTATAATTCCTTTGTAAACATTGTAACCCAGAATCCAATGTAGAATCAATCATAGAAAATGCAATATTAAGTGGAAAAATACATCCAGCTCAAGAAGATAATAATATTGATTGAATTATAGAAGTCTATTTATCAAATGATATTTTTTTGTTTTGGGATTTTGGTCTTTAATTTAGGCGCCAACCAAAAAATTCTTTTTTTGGATAAGCATTATTATTGGTTTCAATTTTTCCAAAAATAAAAAAAAAAAATGATAAATTTTGCAAAGTCAATTATGTGACATGTTCACTTTGTCAATACTAGCTGAAAATGACTATCCATTATGTAGTCATTTGAATTTTTTAGAAGCTACCATACTAATCAATATAAAAATTTTACAAGTAAATAAATAAATTTTTCTTCAAAACAATAAATTTTTATAAACAATGTCAACGCCATCAACCACTACAACACAGAACCAGCAACAAAAGCAACACAAGCAACAATAGCAAGAGTAAAAAAGTTTACACCCGAGGATTACAAGAAATCTAAAGAAGTTTTGGGTGGAGAGGAAATTTTAAAAATTCTCAAGGAAAGAGATTTAAAACTTTTACTGGAGTACAGCACCCGATTGGTAAACCGCACATTGGATATTTTGTGCCAATGTCAAAATTGCTAATTTTTAAACAGCTGGTGTTGAGGTTTGGTGTATTCTTTTTAATTAAAAGAGGATTAAAAAAAAATTAGAATTTTAATTATATTATTAGCTGATATTCATGCTTTTCTTGATAATATGAAAGCACCATTAGAACTCGTAAATTTTCGAACAAAATATTATGAGGTGCTTATTAAAACTACTTTTGAAGTACCAATTGAAAAATTGAAATTTGTAGTTTGATCAGATTATCAATTTACAGCCAAATACAACATGGATAATTATAAACTTTGTGCATTAGTTACAGAACACGATGCAAGAAAAGCGGGTGTAGAAGTAGTTAAACAAGTAGAGTCGGCTTGTTATCAGGTTTACTTTATCCCTGGATTGCAAGCATTAGATGAAGAATATTTAGAGGTTGATGCACAATTTGGAGGTGTTGATCAGAGAAAAATATTGTTTTTGCTGAAAGACATTTGCTTGCATCTTGGGTATAAAAAAGAATATACTTGATGAATCAAATTGTTCCTGGCTTGGCAGGATCCAAAATGTCATCGTCAGGTCCAGATTCCAAAATTGATTTACTGATGAATTATGTACTATTACTCGTAAAATAAAGCAAGCATTTTGTGAAGAAGGCAATATTGCAGAGAATGGACCTTTATCATTTGTAAAATCAGTTTTATTTCCATTATATTCTCTCAACTTCCAAACACTACGATTTGCAATCAAAAGACCAGAAAATATGGAGATGTTAATTATGCAGATTATCAATCTTTGAGAAAATGATTTCGTCCATCCTGGAGATTTAAAAGCATCAATTACAATATTAATGCAATATTAGAAAGAAATGGGAGAGTGAAAAGAATTAGTTAAAAATGCATATCCAAAGCCAGATGCTAAAACTGTTGTAAAACAAATATAAAAATAAAAATAGAAATAAATTTACTCAACGATGATGACTTATTTTAATATTTACAAGGACAATTGGTCCCCCAGACCAATATACAAAAATGCCCGATCTTTTTTTGTCATGACTTTCTATTTCACTTGTCATAGTTGTCATTTATTATTATTATTATTAAAAAATTTGATTTAAGAACGTGGACTGTTTAATGATCGAAGTTAGATTGTGCGTCAATAGAGAACTCCGGATTATTATTTGATAGTGTTTTTTTTGCTAGTTACATGAAAATTGGGCAAGACTTTTTAAACAAGTGATGTGACTATTTGGGTATAGTAGAAAATTTTTATTACAAATCATATCCAAAATTAGGTAAAGCAATTTTTATGTCATATGAATTATGAGTAAAGCAAAAAATTTTATAGGCAAGGAAGGGAGGGTTAAATTGTAATTGGCGTAGAAAGTTTTGTGTCCTTTCCTGCTTATTACTAATACTAAAAATTTATTTTCACGATTTTATATTGGTATTAGTAATATTAATAAATTTTTTCAATGGTTTACATGTGAAGTTGAGATGTTATTATTATATGCTAAAATGGGTAAAGAGAAAAAAAATGTTACATTTTAGAATTTAATAGCCTGGTCCTGTTATAGTAAGGACGTATATCGGTGTTATTCAAAAGATGTTAAAGGACAAAGCAAGCCTCAAGATTCATTCACGTGATATTTGCATTTGTGGAGATCTCTGAACAAGTATATCCGCATTTCTTCATATGTTTAAACTTACGTTCAACAAAACGATTTTAGTTTGCATAATAAAGATGTCGTGATTGATAATGATGTCGTTTTTTATGATTTGCGTAAAATTAATATGGAACGCTAGATAGCTGTTAAAGCGAAAAAAAAGGGCTATTACTATAGAGGTCATTAATTAAAGCCGTCAAATAAATAAATAAAATACATAATCTTTTTTACTATTTATGATTGGAATATGACCGGAGGCTATAAACAACTATGCCCAAGGAATGCTACCAATCCCTACTGCCAAAATCAACAAAAGCTTATCGTATCCGTTCAGACCATCAAATCAATCACATTTACCACTTGGGATGATATAAAAAATAAAAATTGTATATTTGATCACAATGATTTCTAACCAGAGTTTTATTTTTACATATGGCCAGCTAACGTAGATGAAGTTTCTTATGCATTCACTAATTCGTCCATTCTTCACTTTATTAATCATTTTGTAAGTATTGTTCTGAGAAAGCAGTATATTGCATAGCCCACATTCTCTTCATAACAAACCTTCCGTTCTATGTGTATTTTTGTGCCTTTATTCGCTACAAAAAGAGTTATTAAAGTGTTCGCTATATAGAAAGAGGATATATATTAATTATAAAAAAATGATTACTATAATGTGATGTGTTCTAACCGTTAAACAAAAAAAAGTCGTTGTGATAATGAAACAATGGCTTTTTTTAACTTTATGCATAATATAATATTTTTATTCCAAAATAATTAATTATAAAATTAATTTTTTTTATAAATGATGATGATAATACATATTCGTTAAATATTTACCAATCAATGTATCGGTAAATGGGAATTTAATCATTTACATTTACATGTTACAAATTTTCACAAATACGTGGTGGTGACAAATTTTAAATCGATTATCACTTTTTTTTGCTCATTAATATATTGAAAAACTGTTTCAGAAAAACCCAGTATTTGTACGATTTTTATTATATATATAAAACACAACATCAAAATTCTCTCACATACACAAATATGCCGAAAAAGAACAAATCCTTTAAAATATCAGACGTTTTAAATAAATGGTTAGAATCAAGAATTAAATCAAGGTTGGAAAAGAATGCTGGTGGATTTTTAACAGCAGAACAAGCATTGGATGATATTATTAAAGAAATTACCATAAAGTCATTATCTCAACTTCCATTACCGGTATTTTCTATCTCAATGAAAACTTTGGCTGAACTTGACGAAAAAAGTAAATTGGAGATGTTGGAAGGATTAATAGCAATAACACCAAACCCTGAATTTGCTTTTGCTGTTACTACATCATCAACATCATCTTTTTCTAATGTTGGCAATGGCGGTGTAGTAGTAGCAGACAAAATTCGGGATTATTTAGTTTCCATTCTTTTACCAACAACAACAACAACAACTTCTTCTTCTTCGCAAGAAAATTCTACAAAAGTTTCAATAGAAATTCAGCCAAGATTTTTAAATATTGTAAATACTGTTTTAAAAGAATCCTATGACTCTTAAAAAAAAAACCCCCCCTTTAAAATCTTGTAAATTTCTTTCTTTATCTATGCTAGAAAAAAAAAAAGAGAAATTAATATATCATGCAACTATTTTAAGTTTGTTGTTTTTTTAATTCAAAGGAAAAAAATAATTACTATATTTTATGTAAAAAATTATTATTAATTATATATAAAAGAAAATTAAACTACATTTTTTTTATTTTTTTGTAAAGAATGAGTAATTTATAAGCAAACATTTACATTTTACTAATAATAGAATTGCACAGTAGTGGTTTTGAATTTACTACTGGGTAATGACGTTGAAAGGCCTGTTGCCTGTCCATTTTTACTTTAAAAGGGATAAAGATGTATTAAGTACAGCTTCGGGTATACACACGTGGACTTTTTGTAATTTTACGATATAACGAGATTCAAAAAAATTTTCTCGATTTAAAGGGGACGATGATAGTTGCGATTAAAATAAAATTAGTTATATCGGATTTTTGTGTGCGCGCTCGAAATGATTTTTAAAATTTCAAATGAGAGAAAGACGACATTTTAATATTTTTTTGTATTGATTATAATAACAACAACAACTATTACATAAATAAATAATTGTTATTATTATCATAATCTACTATTACTACTTCATAACAACGGGTAATTTGCTATTATTTCATATATAATAAATAATAAATAATAAATAATAATATGCTGTTATTAAATATAAATGAGGAAATTAAATAATAATTAAGTAACATATTTCTTTACAATTTCTTCAACTTCAGGCCAATTATCTGTTGGAAGCTTTACAATTTCACGTTGGAAATGTGATTCAATTTTTTTAATCAAATCCCAACTTGTAGCATCATGTACAAAATTAATAGAGACACCAGATCTACCAAATCTACCAGTACGTCCAATGCGATGCAAATAGGTTTCAAAATCGGGATTCCTACCACTGGGGTCAACTGGTATATCATAATTAACCACCAAGTTCACTTGCAACACATCTATCCCACGCGATAGAACATTCGTGGTAATCAGTACTTTGGCACTGCCCGATCGGAAACCATCCATTACCTGATCCCTTTCGTTGGTCGATAGACCACCGTGGAGATTAATAACTCTACGATTTCTTTCTGTCATCAACCTTGCTATTCTATCTGCAGTTTCACGTTTCTGTTTTTAAATTAAAGATATGCCAAGTTACAATTTTGAATATATTGTTTTCTTTAAAAAAACTCTGATATATAATTAATAAATAAAGTAAAATCTATACTTGAACAAAAATTATGCTCTGACTAATTGTTAATAAGCTATATAATTCATCCAATACTGAAAATTTATGTTCTTCATCTTTACAATCCATATAAAATTGTTTGATTGTTTTAACCGATAATTCCTCGACTTTTAGGTTGAATTGATTTGCATTTGGTGCAAATCTGTTAGCAAAACTACGTACTGGATTGGAATATGTAGCCGAAAAAAGTACAATCTGACAACTTTTTGGCATCAAACTGTTCAATCACAAAAAAAACAAATATATTATCTTATTATTAATAATGATTTTATATCACAATATATATATATATATATATATATATATAGCGTGTATACATACTTTTTTATCCTTATACTTTGATCTCCTAAACCTTGTTGATCCAACATATTGTCAGCTTCATCCAACACAAATATTTTAAAATATTTTCTTTCTATCGAATGTTTCTTCAGTAAATCAAAGACTGTGCCAGGTGTACCAACTATCAACTGAACACCATGGAATTCTTCTTGCCTCGACCTGGATCCTTTAGGATGAGATTCTCGAATAGCTTCAGCAGTCACCACCGACGTATATTTACCCATTTTTTTAACTTCAGTCATGATTTGACGAGCTAATTCTCTTGATGGTGTTAAACAAAGTGCCTTTTTTTTTCAAAAGAAAAATGTATATTTAAATCAACTAATCAATCGACTCATTAATTCGCCAATATATTTTTTTAGAATGAAATATTTACTTGTGGCTGTTTTAAATCTAAATCTATTCTACTGAGCATTGTTAAAACAAAAGCTGCAGTTTTACCGGTACCAGATTGCGATTGACCAATCATATTTTGGGGTCTATATAAAAAAAACTCTAATTAATACAATATTAATTAATATATATCTTTTTTTAAAATGATAATAATGATAGCGATATACTCACGGATTCTTGAGAAGTAACGGTAGAGCTTTTGCTTGGATTTTAGATGGAATTGAGAATCCCATTTCATATACACCTTTTAATAAATCCCCATTTCTGTAAAATGATGGAATAATGAAATCATGAGAAACAAATAACATCAATGAGTTGTACTAATTCTTTTTTTCTTCCTCCTTCTTTTAATACAACTTACATATTTAATTGTTCAAATGTTGTCACAGACATTAAAGGTTCATCCTCATCAACACGTTTAACTTCAACTTCATGATTTGATTCTTGTAAAGTATTGTGTTTAACTATATATGTGTGTGTGTGTGAGTAAATTTATCAATAGATCAGAACAATAAATAGATCATGAACAATAAATAGATCATGAACAATTACAAAAATTTTATTTACAAACCTTCTTTAGTATCTAATTCAGACAATTTTTCTACAACCTCATCAACATCTATAAATTTATACAGGTGCATATAAGATACATTTACATATGTTATGTTAAAACTTTTGATTTAAAATATCCTGCGATTTAACATCTAAAAAAATTTTTCAACCTCCATTACTAGCATTACTGGCATTGTTAACATTATTAGTATTACTAGGAATTTCAGCCATTTTGAAATAAATAAATAAATATTTATATAAAAGGATCTAAGGAACTAATAAAAGATTTGCGGTTAATACCAATACTTATATTTTGGTATTTGGTATTTACAATATGCATTTGTAAGTTACACCAATTTTACGGATCAAGAAATAGACAATTAAAAAAACATCTCCAACAGACGACAATCTTTGTAATCAGTTAATATGTATATAAAACTTGAAAATCCTGTTGATTTTCCAAACTCGGAACTCAATCTTTACAAAATGCGTTTGAGTAAATTATTAAAAAAGATTTATCGTTATATATACTGGCTAAAAAGAAATCGATGGCCCCAAAAACATGTTGTCAAAACTGATTTCCACAAATTTATGAGCCCTCGCCAAAAATCATATAGTGAAATTACTACTAGACATGCAACACTAAACGAGGGTACAAGGTTGATTGAGAAAATTACCATTTTTTATTGCCGAAAATTGACCAATTCTATCTTGTGCTTCCTGGGAGTGGGTTGCGCAATCACTTTAATAATCGAACGAGGAAACAATCCAGCCGGGCGTAATCAAGCAATAATAATGATTATATCACTGACCAGAGTTCAACTATGGTCACGAGCAATAGTGATAGATTTACTGTTTTTTCTATTAGCAACTCAAATAAGAATTATTTTTTTATTGACTGTTTTTAGCTATTCTTGATAAGATTCTATAGCAGAATTAAGCAGAATTGCAATAAAATAGGCAAAACTTGAAATGAGCAGATTATTGGTATGCCACCGTAGATTTTGCTTTTATCCACCGCAGAAATTCATCGTCCCTGCTTAGGGATGGTGCGGTTTAAAAAAAAACCGATTCGGTTTTTGGTTTAGGTTCGGTTCGGTTTTTGAACCGGTTTTTTGTGAAACCAAAATATCTACGTTTATTGGCCAGGTTATTATATCACGTAAAAGTGTAATACGAAATATTATTATTATTATTATTATTATTATATTGATTTTGCCTTTTTTCCAAATTCAATTCACCTTTTTAAATTGATTATCATTTTAATGCGCAGTACAAAACAAAAGATGAACGCAATATTACTATTATACAATTTAAAATGAAATGATTTATTTTTTCAATTGAGAATGTGGAAGCAACACAATCAAAAATAATTACTTCTATTACTATGTTGCATTCAATTTGACTCTTCTCCAAACAATTTATTTTGTTGTTTTTTTTTCCATTTTAAGCAACATATCATTACTATTATTATTATATATACAATCTAAGATGATTATTTTTGAATGAAAATGATTTGTTTTTTCAAGTTCATTTAGGAAACATAATTAAAATATCCTATTATGATAATCTATAAAAAAGTTTGTGTAATAAACTGGTTACACCGAACAGGTTTAACCGGTTTGGTTCGGTTTTTTTTGCAATAATAATAAACCAGTTTCGCTGAACCGAACCGAACCGCCCCATCTTGAACACCCTTAATATATATATAATGCGCACCATCTAAAGACATCAAATGCTGCGTCACACTGCCAAATATTCAATCCTAAAATAGCAATGATACTCTTTGATGTCACGAGATCATAAAATCTTAGGAGATGGTACATTTGAAAAAATACCCACTTTATTACCATTTTTGGAAATAATTTACAAGATCATCACAAAATTTATCCTAATTAAGAAATGATATTCGATTTTGAGGGACCATTTCTACCCAAAATTGAAATGTACCATCTCCTAAGATTGTTCGGGGTCCTCATATGACTCATCACTTATCGTATTCGAGTATTCGAATTACATTTAAACTTTACTCAAATAAATTTTTACTCGAATAAATGAATAAAACAGATATATAAACCACAATAAAATAATAAAGAAACAATTCGAATAAACGAATAAAGCAAGTATATAATTCGAATAGACAAATAAAACGAATCATTGAATAAAATGAATAAACAAATAATTGAATAAACGAATAATTCGAACAAACGAATAAATGAATAATTCATATAATCAATTTCTTTATCTGAGTCTTCCTCACTCGATGCATATTAAATTTTTATTCAATTCGTTATCTGATTTGTTTTTTTTTTGACATTTCTAGCATCTTCAAATGTGCAGTTTGCTTATTTAGTCTTGGGATTTTTTTGATTGGAAGAATGTAAATCTGTTAGTAATGTATTATTTTCTGATTGCTTAAAAAAAAGCGAGACGATATTTATTTATAACATTATTACAGTTTCAATGAATTATTATGTTACAACGGATTTTTCAGATATAAAATTCGTTCGAATGTGAAAAGTTAGTATACTCTATTATTTAATTTTTGATTTTTATTATTTATTATTTATTATTTGTTATTTGTTATTCAGTTATTTTATTTTTCATATTATTAAAACTGGAATGTGTTTTTTTAGTTGACATGAAAATTAACTGTGAAAATTAAAATTCGTTATACAAATTAAATAATAAACAAGACTCTGCTCTCGGCTTTTCTTCTTAATATAACTAAAAAACTGAGAAATAAATAAAATCAATATTCGCCAAAGTAAATAAAATAATCGATTTTTGCGTTTTGTAGATAAAATGTCTAAAATATGATAGGTCAATCTTTTCTTGTAAATTACATTCATTCACTCAATCATTGATTTATTTTCTTGATTGATTGCTATCCAGATGATTTGGTACAATACATAAATTGCTGAATTATTATCATCATTTTTAACAACATTGACTGAATTTGGAGTATGACAATTTGGACAAGTGTACATGTTGATATTTAAAGGTGTGATGGTGTCGTGAGTGTTAAGATTTAAAAATGAGTTAAATGGTTCCGAGATTGGAACTTCGACTATTTCTTGTTCATCTTGTTTAATATCTTTGATAACCGAATTTTTAATTGAATCGACAACTATTGTTGTTGTTGAATTCTTATTGGTGGTTTTAGTAGTAGTAGTTGATATAGATTTTGATGGAATTTTAACAAAGTTTTGTTTTGTAGTGACTTCAACTAATTGCTTATTATGAACACTTGGACTCCTGTATATAAAGAATACGAAGGATGAGGAGAGAAATAAAATAATCAACGATTAATTTTTGCATTAAATTGATTAATAAATTTATTCGAGAATAATTACATGTCGTTAATCGATGTTGTCGTTGTTTTAAAACATCATTGGCTTTACTTTTACTTTTTGGCAAAAGAAAATCTAAAATAAAAAATAATAAAAATAAAAATTAAAAGATTAATAAAATATATTGTAAATTATATAATGTCTGTTGCTACAATATAATTTTTTCAAATTTTTCTTTGTTAATTTTTTTTATTAGAAATAGATTTATTAGAATCATCGGGAAGAAATATCTTTTTTAAGTCATTATTGACACTCTCGGTAATAGTAATTTGAATTGGCGCCTTTTATCAAAAAAATTTAAGTGAAGTATTTGAAAATTACCTTAAATAAATATTTATTGATTTATTATTATAATAATAATATTGTATATAGAAAAAATAAATCAATTAAGATACAGATGGTCGGTTTCCTAAACTGTTTTTAGGAAAAAAAAGTGATATCGGCAATAGTTTCAGCTTTATATGAATAAAACTGGTTTATAAAACCTTGGAAATTCTAGTTTAATCTATTAATATTAAGAGATCCGGTGAGAGAGTATATTGGTGGAAGTTATTGACAAGTAATTTTTTATACTAAATTTTAAAATAGATTTAAACTATTCATTTTATTTATTGTTAGGAAAATTTTTATTTGTTAGACAAATTAGATCAATTTGTGAACAATTCCATTCTCGCTTAATATGTAATGTAACAATAATAACTGTTGTTGCAATGATGGATGACTTATATACAACAGAGAAAATTTGTATCTGGAGAATTATGTTGAAAAATCTTGTTACTTGAAAATGTCCTATTATATCACAAATTTATATCACGAAAATGAAAATTTTATTTTATATTAATCCGCGAAAAAATGCTATAAATAATACAAAAAAAATTCGAAAACGAAAATTTTGTTTTTTAAAAAAATAATTATAATCATTAATAAATAAATTCAATAAAATAAACTCATAACCAACCATAACCAATATATAATAAAAAACTAAATTCATAATCAACATATATAAAAGAAAACCAAATATGTATCAAAATCATTCTAACAATAATATTGTTATTAATAATAATGGTACTGATATTAATGATGTTGATATTAATGTTGTTGATGTTAATAATCAAGACTTTGTTCCTAATTATGACGACAATTACATTCATCAAACTCCTGGAAATAATAATTACATTCATCAAAACCTTGGAGACAATAATTACATTCATCAAAACCCTAGAGACAATAATTACATTCATCAAAACCCTGGAGACAATAATTACATTCATCAAACTCCTGGAAACAAATACATTCATCAAACTCTTGGAAACAAATACATTCATCAAACTCTTGGAAACAAATACATTCATCAAAACCCTGGAAACAATAATTACATTCATCAAAACCTTGGAGACAATAATTTCGGTCATCAAAACAGCCAGAACTCTGTCAAAAATAATTACATTGATCAAAACTCCGGCGACGGTAATTTAATTCATCAAATTAA